CATAGTCCAAGCCTCCATGGAGCAGAAGAAATCCCCACAGGCTCAGCCTGCTCTTCTCATCCACAGAAATTTTTAAAAATCACCAATTCTCAGAGAAATGGAATCAAGTCAGAAAACATTTAGATGTCCCCAGAAATGCTGTCAAACACCTGAAGGTGGCTGTGGGTCAGAGGAGGCTGATTCTGGTGACAATAAGTATCTCCACAAATGGAGACAACGGGGAGACAATCTCTAGGTAATCCACATCAGTGTTGAATTATCCTTATAAAAACCAAAGGGGTTTCTTCTGCCTGAAGAGAATTCTCTGTTCCAGTTTGTGTACACTGTCTCTGGTCCTGTCACTGGACCCCACTGGAAGAATATGTCTCCAACACCTTTTCTCCCTCCCTCAGGTATTTGTACACACTGACAAGATCACACTGAGCTCTCTTCTCCAGGATGAACAGTCCCAGCTCTAACGCTCTCCTTGTTTGACAGATGCTTCAAGTCCCTTCATCATCTTCACAGCCATTCACCACACTCACTCCAATGTGTCCATGACTTTTTTTGGACAGAGGAGGCCAATGCTGGACCCAGCAGCCCAGGTGTGGCCTCCCAAGTGCTGAGCAGACAAGAAGGATCATTGTCCCCAACCTGCTGGCAATGCTCTAAGGGCTGTCCAGGATGCCACTGGCTTTCTGTACTCTATGGGCACATTGCTGTCTCATGTCCAGCTTGTTGCCCACCTAGTGCCCCTGGGTCCTTTCCTACAAAGCTGTTTTTCCAACTGTTTTCCACACCCCAGCTGGTGCATGAGGTTGTTCATGCAGCTGGAAGTGCAGAATTCGGCATTTCCCTTTGTTGGACTTCATAAGATTTCTGTTGGTGCCCATTTCTCCAGCCTTGTGGAGGTCACCAACTCTACAACATCCAACAAAACCAATCTTTGATAAACCATGGTCAGAAATACAGCAGACAATCAGCAACTCACCCCCTTACAATTAAAGAGCAACCCTCAACAGAAACTACAACCTGAAGTTACAGGAAAGGGGGATTGTACACCTCATTTCAGGCAATTCTACATAATTTGAAGCAGAAACAAAGTAGTGACTTTTCACACCAAATCAGTGCTAATATCTGCTGCAACCTGGGCTGTCAGAACCACTGAGACAGCAGCCTGAGGCTGCACAGTGAAGCATGAGGTGTGCTGCCTACACAAGGTGTACTTCCTTGCCTTCCCATTCCAGAACCACCTGTGTGTAGTACCTGTATCTCCTCCTCTGTGTCAGAACTAAAAAAAAAAAAGGAGTTCCACAGAGCGTATCTTGCCTTTTAGTTTTAAATTTCTAAGCTCAATGTACATTAAACCTGGCACATAACTTCCATGTGCCCAACCCAGTGTGGCTGCCTTTGGATTTCCTATGCTGGGATGAAAAGCCTGGATCAGCACTCAGGATGGCAGCCAGTATGGCTGAGTTTGTCTCCAAGAGATTCACTAGTTCAAATGAAAAGTAAAATACAAAGGTTTATCTGAAACAGACTTTGCTACCAAGGAGGCATTTGTCTGGCAGTTCAAGCAGTAAAATCTTCTGAGAAAATCACTCTAACAAATCTGTCACTTCAGTGTCCACTGTCTGAATCAACAAGTCTCTCCAACACTTATTTGCCACAACTTCAGGGCAGGAATCCTCCCTCAGCAGCAGCACGAGTCGTCCCAGAGGAGATAAACACATTACCTGCATGCAGGAAGGACACAGACTCCAGCACAGAAATGAGTATTACAAACACCATAAACAGAGCAACAATGTAAATTCTAAAAAGTAGAGCATACTTTTTTGAATTTGTTTTATACATTATATAGTTTCGAAGGCATACCTGATAATCCTCCTCTGAGTACCAAATTTGCTTTACTGAGTGGGACAAAATATAAAACTCTAGCAAACTGATATGATTCAAAATGCTGAGTCTATTGTATTGGTGAAAACAGGTGCAATTCTTAGGAGCAGGGAGCTGCCATCTACCACAAGCAATGCAGCTCCCAGGAATAGAAAGCACTGAATCACTAGAGACAAAAAGGAGAATATAACAAGAGAGGGAAAATTACTATGAATTTTACACATCCCATTTCTAAAGGAGAGTAAGATCCTTGAGTAAGAGACTGTGTAGGTCAGGACAGCACAGACACCATGGATCCCAAGAAGTTCCATTTAGGAAAAAAGCCTTCTCCCCCACAGAGCGTATTTAACTGCCCACCTTTGTTCCCATCACAAAGTGCATCCTGCTGCCCTCCTGCAGGAGAGGCATCAGCTGCCTCCCACCCCAAACAGGGCTGGCTTGTAGAGGCTGTGAGCCACTGCCATGCACAGCTGGCTCCGTTCCACACAGACACCCTAAACCTGAGCTAAGTACACTGGAGTTGGAGACAAGAGAGCAAAAGTGACAGATTTCTTGTGTGAGCCACAAGCTATGAACTGTGGATTTCTGGAAAACACCCCAACCTTGGAGGTGACAGGTTGGGCCTGCTGAATCTCATTCACTCCTCTACCTGGGCTGACACCTTAAGCTACATGGAGAGCGTGCATGTGGCTTTGTTTTGGAAGACATTAGACACATTTCATTGTGTATCAGTAATTTCACCCACACAGATTTCTTAGATCTGTCCAGCTTTGGCATGTTTTACAACTCCAAATTCTTCCATTTATCCCTCCTTCCTCAGAGCACCCTTAGCCACGGTAGATTTACTGCTCTGCAGATGCTGTCTGCCTTCAGCAAATGGGATGAGACACCACCAGGCTGCAGGATGGCATTCACACCTCACCAGCACACAGAGCAATTTGCTCGTCAAACTGATGGGAATTCAGAGAAATTAGGGAGCAATTTTATCTTTTGACTCCCTTCCCCAGCATACACCCACCCTTCCTGCCCTTCATTTTGCAAAACAGTGAACTGCTCCCAAACCACTTGTGACAAGATGCACAAAAACCTTTAATAGTCTATCATAAGAGAGATTAAAGATTTAGCACATTTACAGCTTGTACATTAATAGCCAAAAACACTAGAGCAGAAATTGGACCCTTTCTTCTCTCCATTGTGAGAAAAAGGCTCAAAAATCACCAAGCTTGATGACTGGAGCCACATACACTGGAGGGAGCAAGGCAACATTTAAGCCAAAATTTCTGCTTTCCATTTGTCATAAGCCAATTGTACCAACACTCAGTTTACTTTGGCTGATTGCAGTACAGTGTTCCTGCCAGGACCATCACCATGCCACTCTTCTCTGAGCATCAACTGTACTACTGTTCCTTCCTCCACTGTTCTGCTGGTACAACAAAAGCTGCTGACCTACCCCAAGTTCTCTTTCCTGGGTACTTTTCAGAGCAGCCAGTGGGCAGATGTGAGGAGCACACAGGAAGGAAGAATGGCACAGCTGAGGCCAGCCAGCCTTTTTGCAGCATTTCTGTGCTTATTTGGCACAACAGCTCAGGAACTGTATTACATGTGCCATTTCCATAGGAACTGAATTTCTACCTGATCCATTTAATGTTGTATCCACAATGAGTGAAGGCTGCAGTAACCAAGCTACCATAACCAGATGGCACCAGACTGTTACAGAGCTTATTCTCTCAAAAGCAGAGATGAAGTGCATAAAGTTGCTTTCATCTATACACCAGCAAAATTTGAAATTCAATCATTTCCCTGACTTAAATGGTTGCAGTCATAAAAGCTCAGCTATTACCAGAACAAGAGGTTTTAACGTAAAGGTTTGTGAAGTAAAAGCATATTATAAACTTTAAACTACGTGAAATCTTATTTTCTCAAGAAGCCTTAGGATGAATGCATAATGAATCCGTTTCTGTGACAATAAGTAAACTTTGGATGCTCAAATTGCACGTAATTTTCTACATTCACTCTTTCTCATCATGCTCAAGAGGACACAAAACCATGTGTTTAGCATGAACATTGGTGCAGCCATCACTGAACATCACTTTTTATTGAGGAAAATCAGCACAAAGGGGACACTGCCCAGTTTTGTTGTGCAAACAAATAGATCCCCAATTTCTGTCAGAGCTGGGGTGGTCCTACAGAGCCACATTAGAACTATTGCACCATTTCTGACAAATTCCCATGCATTTTTACACATTAAGTGGCAGAAAACTTTATTCCAAGGGCAGAACAGGATACTCTATGCTCAAGTGAAAACTGGTTGCCTTCAGCTACTTGTAGCCCAGGTCATCCCCAAAGCCCAATGGTTAAAGGAATTTTCCAGCCTGGAGCTGCTCACAGTGCCCAGCACAGGCTGCTGTTCCTGTGTTAGCTCACTCTGCTGCAGACAGTAGTGAGGAAACAGAAGCAGTAACAGTCTAACCTGTCCAGGAGCTTACAGAACCAACACTGCAATACTTCCCAAGATGCAAATAAACCACAGCAATTGTTAATATTTCCATGCTTACATCCACTGTTATAACTGGTCAGATATAGATGTATAAGAGAAAAAAATAAACAGAACACAACAAAAGAGGGGGTGGTGCTTGAATTATTTCCAAAATATTATTGAAGCTCTTCTTTCCTAGCTGCAAGACCTTCTTCAAGAACTTCTAAAACCAGCTAAAGTCAAAAATAATCCCAAGACATCTCCAGATTCAAATACCATGCAACCAAAGCACCAACCCAAACATTAAAATCTATATTTAGGACTAAGCCAATACCTTATCTAATAAATTGATGAAACCAATTAATAGAGTCTTCAGTAAACAACACAAACTTTTGTGCTTGTTTTTAAAAAAGCTAACCAGTCAGAGTTACCTAATAGAGAAAGACACTGCAGCCTTCAGAGATATATCACAGAGGTTCTTGCTGCTGATACAGAGCCTTAGGTGATGGTTACAAGAGCTATGTTGAACAGGAAAGCAAAAGGGTTTTTTTCCCAAAATTAGAAATATACAATTTCCAAAAATGGGAGCAAATGACAAAAGGTAATGAAAAATACTGCTGAAGAAATGTTTAATTAAAAAAATCAGGAATTCAACAGTGCCTAAATCTTTATTTTTCATAACCTACATATTTTTTTTTTTCAAATTAGACAGTTTTACATTTTTATGACACAAAAGGAAACTTAAATTACTGATAGTTTACATGTAAGCTTGATTCCAGTCTTAATGGAAGAAGAACAAAAACAAAAACCCTCAAAAAGGCTCCCATATCACACTTCTATTTCGTGAATTGGCAGCTGTTAGGTCTCCTTAGAAATCTTGGATTGTCTGCTGCTATTAGTGTAATAGGTTATGAAGCACAAAACCCCTACCTGTAGCTGAAGGAGATACAGAGATAGGTGTGCACCATTACAGTCAGCTGTTGCTCCTGATACACTGCCCCACGCTCCAACAATGGCCTTTCCATGCCAAGGGCTCAAGGCTTTGAAAGACAATGCAGCAACATAAAAAAATTGCTACTGCTACACATTTCTAAGTGACAGTGTCACAGGGCAGGACCGATCTGAAATTACATTCAGTTTAGAAAGCAACCTTTTTTCTAAAATTCCTGGAAGAACCTCAGATCCCATTTTGACTTGTTTTCAAAATGAAAAGCCATCACCACACAGTTCTAGCAGGGTAAAATGCCAATTTTAATTACTGGATCCCTGAACCTTGAGCTCAGCTACTGCTTTTGGGAGATTTTTAATTTTAAAAGCTATGTTTTAATCCCTCTCTGTATCATAGCAACAGTCTGCATGCAACTTCACAACTCTACTCTGAAAACTCCATTTTGTCACCGAGTGGGGGGTGGAAGGAATAAATCTCAAAGCAAAATACAGTAAGAAGTTGTATTGTATATTACACAGCGATTTGGCGTGTCACTTTTTTTTAAAAAAAAAACTATAAAACCACATCAGAGGAAGGTTTAAACTTTAGATGCAACAGACTGTTGCTGGGTAAGCAGTAATTACAGTGTATTGACCTATCACAAATGGCAGCAGAATACATTAGAACAGCACAACACATCCCACTGGTCTCAACAGATCACCTCGGGTACCGGCTGAGCACCAGGACGAGCCGCTCACAGCCGCTGGAAGGGACCACTTGCCACTGTTTGCAGCTGGTAAAGCCTTTCACTTGCAGCAGACAAACAAAATGAATCATACAGCTGGCCTAAACCATACACAAATCTAGCTACCGCTTTCACTGCCACTGGGGAAAGGAGAAGTGGATAAAAAAGTCCAATGACAGAAGTAGTTGAGCAGTTTTGGTGATGGTGTCGGGGTCCTATCTCCTCCCACAGCATTCACAAAGTGCGCTTTGGAAACAGGAAAAAAATCAACAGACTCCACATGCCCTATTTTGACCAATTCTACAGCATACAACAGGCTGGATTTACAATGCCAACTGGTTACCAATTGATGCTTGTAATAGGAAATTTATCAGGAGTCAACTTCTATAGTTACTTTACAGTTCTATGAACCATGCATTGATACTCTTGAAAGCAGACAAGTAAGCTTCAGTGTATACTTTTGCAGCAGTCAGGTTTTTCCCAATTAGACTTGATTTTTATTAATGACTTAAAAATTACAGTTTGACTGCTGAAATTCATTATTTACATTGCATAACACTTTTCAATTGGTTAAATTGTTTGGTTTTAAAGGGACTTTAGGAAAATATTTGAGGGCTTTCAAATAAGATTTTCGTTCCATTTCCCTTTTGCAGTGAAGAGGCAGAGTCAGTTCAACACACCAGAATAAAATAAGAAAAAGAAAAAACAACAAATTAAAGTAATATTCAAACCACAACATTTAGTTTATCTACATCCAGCTCAACAGCAACATTTATAATATCAATAATTTTTATCAGATTTTTTTCTTTAGGGTACCTTTTTATATGTTCTGATTATTTACAACTGTACAAGCAAAGCACACACTTCCAAGTGCACATATTTAATACAGTATTGACTATTTGCATTTACAGGTTTTTCAACAATCTGAAAAAGATCAACTGTTTAAGATCTTTAAGGTATATTACAAAAACTGCTGCTAGTTCCTGTACTACAGTATGTTTACCCAGTAAGACCAGTGACAATAGATACATACTGTAACTGAGTAATTCTGTATGCCATTCATGCTAACCCTCCATGGGGTCAGACCTCATTAACTCTAAACTGTCTTGTACAAAAGTTAAGGCAAAGTCATTTTCAAGTTTAAATAAAATTCAAGTCTTTAAATATTGGATGGAAATAATTCTTTAAAAAAATCAGTTGTTTAAATAAACATTTTTGTGGAATAAACTGTACTGTCATAGTCAGCAGGAATGAGTTTTGTCTGAACTTCCTGCAGTTTAAACACTTAAAGAAAAGCTTTAGGCATTTTAAAACAAAAATAATTTATATTCAACTTTATTAGAAACTTGCTAATTTAGTGCATCCTTGTCCTTCAGAAAGCGCATCACTTCTAAAGTAAGTAAGTGTGAGAAACCTCATCCCAGAGGTAATATCAGGGATCTCTTCCTCCACCACACAAAACAAACACCATTATCTCACGTCTTGAAAAATTTAAATCCGTATGCCAATGCTTGTAGTTACAGGAAGATGTCAACACAAGGCTGACTAAGATATGAACTCTTTCAAAGAGCACTTGGGGCAGAGTTTTAAAAAAAAAGTCTACACAGAGCACAGGGGTAACCAGAATATACAGCACTGACTCAGTTAACTCCCTTACAAGCACAGGGAAGCTAAGGTTATCACAAGAAGGCTACTCTGCTTTCTCCTGATAACATCCACTAACAGGCTTCACCACCATAGAAGCTCACAGACTTGATTCTTTCTATTCACAATGTGCTTTGTATTTGCAAATTACAACATCAGTTTTATTCTGGAGTGAGAAGATGGTTACTTGCTTGCAGTAAGTCAAAAAAGGAAATATTTCAGAAAGACTGCTATGGTGCCCTGTAGAATTAAGTTTGTGTGTGCAAAACATCAAAAAAAGATTAAGTTTTTAAAAATGCTAGAAACAGCTACTCGTTTAACCTAAAAGTGCAAGTTCGTTTGCTGACACTTAGTACAGCAGCCCAATAAAAAAAAATCTTCAAGGTCACATACTAATTTGTAAAATATATCTACTTTCTTGCACTCTACACACTAGCTGCCGGTATCAGTCTTTTGGACACTAATTTAGATATGTACTTGCAGACCAGTTTATTAAAAATATTGCAGCAGCATGTTTCTGCTTAACAGTTTAGAAAAAACTCACTATACAGAACTTGCACTCACACAGCCACAGAGAGGCTTAATAAAAAGTTGATTTTTTTTTTAAAGACAAATATTTTACACCTTGAAAAAAAAAAATCACACTAAGCTTCACCTCCAATTAAGCACCAATCTAAATGTAAGGTTTAGAACAACTATCCCAGAAATACCCAGAAAAATAGAATGCTTGTTCAAGAGGGGGAAAAAGTATTTCACAAAAAAATATCTTGCAGGCATTGTTACATGCCTTGTATCACTGCAAGCTCCTAACCAGCAACTCATTCTCAGGTATCTTAGTGGGAACATGGGTTTAATTTGTGGGAAACAGACCTCTTCTCAAATCCCTCCCAGGTGTTATTTTCACTGAGGAGATTTTGGAGGGGTACTCTGTTCTTTATTTAAGCGTTTGCCAACGGCTGGAGGGGACGATCTGCGTCCTGACTGTCTTCTCTGGTCTTTGGGTTGTCCAGGATGTGACTTTGCAGGAGGAGGTTCTCTGTTTTTCTCTATTGTTTCTGTGGGCTTTTTTTCTTCTTTCCCACATGCTACAGTGTTTGGCTTCTGTTCTTTCTGGGGTTGCAACGTAGGAGGATCCTTAGTTGTTCTCTGGCAAATTTCCGCGTAACTAGGTTTTCGCAGTTCCTGGGAAATCAGACACAAACAGGACAGAGTTAAACAAAGCATCCTGAGGGGAGAAAAAAAAATAAAATGAACAGAAAAGGGTGAAGTCCTTGTCCCAAAAGACTGCTGCACTTGGGACAGATGCGGATGAGGGTTCAAGTATCAAGTTACAAAAGCTGCATAGACAATAAAGCTGAAGAAAAGGTAAAACGTAAAATAGCCAGAAATGCCAGAAAAATAGGACACTGGCATAGGGCAAAATATTTCCCTTTTAAACTCTAAACCTGCTGAAGCTCAATGAATACTCTGATTTCAATATCACATATGTATTAATACTTCTACCTTAAGAATACTACCAAGAAAAGGATTCAGACAAGGAGATCTCTTTTGCACTGTTAATTGCATAATTCTATCATGCAAGTAATCACGAAACCCAATAAGTAAATTTAAAGCTGCTGGACAAATTCTAGGATGTTGGGCTCACATGATTAGGCAACTCTGGGTAGCAATAAATATTCCGTTAAATGCAAACTGGATCATTAAGAAAAAGTGAATAATACGGTCACTTACTATGGCAGCCCCATTGACTTGTACCGATTTACATGCAGTACTCAGAGTGGAAGAAGAAAGTCTTTCTGTACTCTGTGTCTCTCTCTGCTGTTTATCCACAACTTTGGAGTCCCTGTAATCATCCAGCAGGAAGCAAGGCTCATGAAAAGTGAAACTTCAGGATAGATGAATGGTTTAATAATAGGTCTAAATAGTTTGAATATGATTGCAAGTAGTTATAAAAAGCTATAATTTGCCTAGAACATGATGACTAGCACTGCATTCAAAAATGCTATAAAAAATAGAAAAAATATATTCCTGTGCAATGTGACACTATCTCTAATTTGTCATGTTCTAATAGCATTTAGGTACTCCGCTATTTGATTTGCAGATTCCAAATAAACTGTTACCAAAAAACTTCTTTTATGGTATGGACATCAGTACTGCCCACAGGGCCATGGGTTTACTCTCTGTGTTTCAAAGCTATCTAAATACAAGACAGTAAGGTATTCATTAAACTTCTTCTACTCACAGAAACTAAACCACAACACTAAATTTTCTTCTGCTAAATGACTATTATGATTGAATCACTATTATAATATTGTTCAGAAATTAAGCTTTATTGCCTTTACTACAAGTACAACAAAATATTACTTCTTTCATTGATTAAGATTTTAATAGCTATTTACATTGTTCTGCCTGATGAAAGAAAATGCAAATGTGATTCAGAGCAGAATAATTATACCCATGTAATTAAGTGCTTACTCAGTAGGCTGGGGTGGCGAAGGAGACCTTTCAAAGGTCCTGGGCAATGTAGAAGAAACTGGTAACGGCTCTCGAGGAATTCCTGATGGAATAGTGTTTGTACTTGCATCCACATTAATGTTCTGAAGGAGGAAAAAAGGCACAGAAAGACAATAAAAATATCCAGTTAATATGGTTTGCCTGAAAAGTAGCACAACCAGTTCATAATTTGATCTATACTGGTAAATTGACTATAGGAAGGGAGGGAAGGAGCCAATATGTATCATAATGAATATGTTATTTTTTCCTTTACATTTATTTAGAAACATTTGGTTATTTCCAAAGGAGTTAGAAGCTTCAGGTCCCTTTGGGACATATCTGAATGACAAAATCACTTTGAATCATAAAGGTTAGAGAAGACCTTTAATCAATCACCACCTTGTCAACTAGACCATAGTACTAAGTGCAACATCTAGTCATTTCTTGAACACTTCCTAGGGTGGTGACTTCATCTCTTCTCTGGGCAGCATGTTCCAACACTTCACTTGCCTTTCAGTAAAAAAAAAAAAAAATTTCCTGACATTCAACCTAAACCTCTCCTGGCAAAGCTTGAGGCCATTTCCTCTTGATCTCTTAATGGTGGCCTAGGAAAAGAGACCAATCCCCACCTGGCTACAACCTCTATTCAGGCAGCTGTAGGGAGTGATAAGGTCTCCCCTGAGCCTCCTTTCCTCCAGGATACACAACCCCAGTTTCTTCAGCTGTTCCTCATAACCTGTGCTCCAGACCCTTCACCAGCTTTGCTGCTCTTCTCTGGACATGCTCCAGCACCTCAACATCCTTCTTGTATTGGGGGGCCCAAAACTGAACACAGGGTGCAGCAGTGATTGTCCCTCTGTGCCAGAACATGGGGACAATCACTGCTGGTCCTGCTGCCCACACTATTGCAGATCCAAGCCAGGACATCATTGGCCCCCTGGCACACCTGGCTCGTGTTCAGCTGCTGTCATCCAGCACCCCCAGGTCCTTTCCCTCAGGGCCACTTTCCAGCCACTCTGTCCCCAGCCTGTAGCACTGCCTGGTGTTGTTGTGACCCAAATGCAGGACCCAGCACTTGGCCTCGTTGAACCTCAAACCACTGGCCTTGGTTCATCAGTCCAGCCTGTCCAGATCCCTCTGCAGACCTTTCTCTTCCTACCCTCCAGCACATAAACACTCCTGCTCAACTTAGTGCTGTGAACTTACTGAGGGTGCCCTCGATCCCTCATCCAGATGACCGATGAGGTTATTAAACCAGACTGGTCTCAATGCTGAGCCCTGGGAAATACCACTAGTAACTGGACTTCTTTCCACCGGGAAATTTTACACCTGCTGGTGACAAAGCAGGCTTTGCACCTGTTCACATAACCACAAGCAGCCTATGAAGACAGAAGTCTCCTAGTGTTGTGCACTAAGAACTGTCTTCTTCAAAGCTCTAATTCTGTATCATCCCAGTATAATGATTTGCTACCAAAGGCTTTTTCCATAGCCCTCAAAAGATTCTGCTCGTGTCAAGTGATAATGTGCTTCCAAATAAATGCCAAATAGGTTCAAGACACATTCATTAATTTAAATTGTCACAAAATAAGAAAAGAAAACTTTGTATCCTGAAAAACATGTATCTCACATTTATAACCATTCTGTTTGTTTTAAAGGGTGCTATGTTCTTTGCATTGCTTCTGATCTGTCTCATTCTAAAAACTCCAAACCACCCCAAAGAGATTCTGGTATGCAGAAACAGAAGCAATAGGAGAACACACGCTCAGAAGGAACAAGATAACCCTCCTTTTCCCCTAGCCAAGTCACCATTCAAAAGGGCATAAATCCTAAGACTCCTATGGTCACTGCTAAAAAGGAAAATGGTATTTGATGGCACTGTTTTAAAACCAGTAGATCTAAGCCTAGTTTGATTCAAAGTAAAAGACAGCAAAAGATGGGTGTTTAGAAATAACAGAACAGCTTTTATAGTTTTATTCAATGTAATAGTGTGTGCAAAGGCTTGAAATTGCAAGCTGCTGAGCATTCTGACCTAAGTGCATCAAAACTTGTAGGTACATGGTTAAATGTGAACAGCTTCCAGTCAAGCAGACATGCAAGAGCTTTTCCTTGCCAAAACACTGAGCCCTTGATCTGACAGTGCTGCACTTCCTAGTTACAAAACGTGGGATGATTATTACCTGTCATTCCCCAGAACTACATCTAGAAGAGCATCACTAAGCAAAGAGCATAAAGATATGATGCTTGCATAACAACTGCTGGAAACGATAGACCTTTAGTCCCCTCAGCTTCTGTACACTGGACTTGCCCATCTGTATGAAACAAGGGAAGCACTGTGTAACTCTACTTCAGTGCTTTGTAACACCACATCAAGTGACATGAAAAAACATTGAGATCAAGGTGAAAAGCAGCCTGTATACATTGGCAAGATCGATGTTAGCTCAAACAGCTTTGTAACAGAGCACAATTGCTCTTTGGAGGCAGCTGCTGTTATCTTACTCTTTACTTAAATGCCAACAAGGAAAGGTAGCATAATCCCCTTTTTTCCACACAATGGTACAGAATAACTCCTGTACACTGGAAAATGAAATTGGTAAATCAAACGATGCTTTTTAATGTGACAGGGCACTGCAAGTATTATAAAGCCTCAGTGCCTGACTGATATGAAGACTGCCTCTATAGAATAGAAGTCTAAGTTCTTCACCATAAGTACAAAGCAAGTACTAGATCTGTAATGGGGGAACAAAGGGTTTTCAGCTGCAGCATTAAAAGCAAGTTCTGGAATTGTATTTAAAACCTAAAATACAATGGTCAAAAACCACTTCATAGGTAACAGAGGTAAAATACTTCATCATTAATAGATCTTAGCCTTAGAGCTGATCTTAGAACAGTCTACCATCTGTAGTACTGGCTGACAGTAAGTTAAACACTGCTCTTACCATGGCTCTGAACTGCACATTCGCCCTAAACACAATCCTGGAACATAGCAGCCCATCCTACCACTTGCAGGAGACAGAGTAGATGGCTTGTCTGTACAGTCACTGCCTTGGGTGCAGGCTGCCCTGCTGCCTCCCCCTTTCTTTACCAACCCCTGACACACGGGCACCAAAGAAAACATTTTAAACCCAGCTTATCGCAGGAGAAGACACCAGAGATTGTGGTGGTTCACCACGTTGCTTTGCACTGCTAATCCAGGGCTTAACTTCTTCAGTTGTGGTACAGCTAGAAAAACACAAGTTAAATTGGAGCTATCAAAAAAAGCCAATACAGACTTTCATAGCCCAGAGCGTTCCACAGTGCAGAGGGTTAAGTGAGTCTTGCTGGAGGAGAACATACTGTCACTCACAGATGGCATGGCAGAGACAGTTCTAAGAATGAAATCTATGAAAAACTACTGAACATTAATTTTCAACTGCATCTCTACTACATCTATACAGCAGTGTTTGCCAAGTTATTCTGGTCTATTTTTATCTTTCTGAGCAATTTGACAAGACAACACTGGGATCCAGCTGGTATTGGTGGCAGTTCTTGTTCCAGCTATGATGCCTAATGTACTGAGATTATGTAGGCAGCTTCTCTATTTTGGTGCTTAGACGTTTGTCTCTGTCACTTTAAAGCGTTTTATATATAACTCAGAAGTCTTACTTTCAAGCAGGAGGGAAAACATATCACATACTTTTCACCTGAGTCTATCAAAAGCTTGAGGCAGTTATGTACAGCAAAGAGCATATTTTCTAATCTCTGCTATTAACATCTACTTATTAAACTGGCGCCAATATTCCCCACCGTTTCAAAGAGAACACCCAACAAATTCTAAGATATAAGTGAAGAAGGCAGTAGCACATTATTTGACAGCTGTTTTTTAAGAACATTTTTTACAACCCATGCAAACCCACAAGTTTTTCCATGTATAAACCAAATTTAAAAAGCAAGAGGTATGCAATTCTTTGTTTTCCCGACAAAAACTAACATCCACTACTCACTCTTTCTTTTGACGTTCCTATTACCACACTGGACAGTCTGTTTTCAAACAGGTCTTCAGCCTTTAAATTGCCAGCAGCCCCGGGTAATGGAGGAAAGCTAGATAAACCCAATTCAAAGCTGGGAGATGGAGGTTTTGGGGGTGGTGGAGACTGTGTTTGGCCTCTCTGGAATAGAAATAGCATGTTGGGGTTACTGCACTAGATGACAGAAAAAAGATATGCACCTCTAAACTGTATTTTGCACTTGATTTGTATCAGCAAACCCCTGGAGAAGGCTCCCCCATCTCATCTCCCAGAAAACCACAGAGTACTGAGATGCTTTCATTTTCCACTGTTGACCTTAAAATATTTAATTATTATTTCAATGTCATGGTATATGTATCAGCTTAAGGGGCACTGGCATAGTAAGAAGTTTTCTCACTTACTCTTCCTTGAGGACAGACACACTGACACAGAAAGGAAAACAGACTGGTTTGTGTATCATATGGTGAAAATATAATGCCCATTTATGTATAGTTAGTAACATCCTAAATAAAAAGACAGGATTAAACAGTAACCTTATTTTCAGATATATGAAGAAAGGGCAAGACAGCATGCCTTGTATGTAGTACAGACAATAATAATTTATATCTAATTAGTATTAATCTATATTGTCACTGTGTAAAAATAGAAAGGTAAGTGTCAAAACTATTTTTGAAACAGAAACTTTCTAACTAAATCCAAGAAGAAAACCAATGTCTCAAGCATAAAACAACATCTGTGCGCTAGATGCAACTATTTTGCACTACAGAGAACAGTTCAGGAGTTAAAATTACCACAGTTTAAGATCATTTGTGAGAACTGCTGGTAAGGATTTGTAAGTTTTATTATATTTACACAGGAAAAATAAAACTCCTTTGTAATACATTATAACTGAAGTTACCAATTAACTTCACCTACATCATGTCAACAAAGAAGTTTTTCTTCAAAGAAGTGTTTATTGACTGTGCTGAGGCCTGTGCTAAGATGATCTCTGCTGCAAAATGCCAAATGCAAACCAATCTTTGAAACAGTTCTGATTTTGAAAATACAAGTATATAGTCAAGATGGTGTGCATGTGGGAACAATGATTCTGAACAAAAAGAACAACAGATATAAGACTATTTTAAGGTCTTTTCACAAACTACATGTAATGTCCAAAGAATTATGTGTCAAGAGGGAAGTAGGGAAAGAAGAACAAGAACAATAAGCAAGAACAACTGCAACCCCAAGCACTGCTACTGACCCAGCATTACCCCATGGAAGAATGCTACAGCAATGGAGACTGCAAATCTCCAAAACTGAAGTCAGATGACCTGTCAAAGGTCAGGGAGAGAGACTACACTAATCCAGCTCAAACTGCAAGAGGAACAACTCAAATTTTTAAAAGTCTTTCTTCAAATCACAGGACTTGCTCTTCTTAAAGGGGACTGCAGTTCTGCAATAGCAAATGCTTTTATGTTACATTTTAAGTGACACCGTTGAATCCTAAAACCCTCAAAATATTAAGGGTGGCATTCATATCTAAAATTAGCAGGATGAGGGAGGACTTCAATGAATCTTAAGCTAACTGCATAAAATTTATCAAGTTAACTTCTTGTAAGTTCTGTACTTGGCTTATGTCTATAGCCTCAGAACCAATCTGATCAAAAAGTTTCATGCTCTTTTTCATGCAAATTTTCATACAACTCTATACTTTTTTCATTTAAAAAGAAAAATATACCGGTTTTAGTGGTGTCCTGTGTACACTATTTAATTGCTACAGCTTTACAAAAGAAATAGGATACTGGAGTCAATTATTTCCACAGTCTAAAGGGGGAAAACTAATCTTTTGTTTCCAAGTACACCTCCTTGCAGTCATGGGTGCGCAGCAGCTCTCACCTCTGCTCAAGATGCAGCACTGGACTCTACAGACTAAAGAATCTTGGTCCAGAAGAGGCTGGAAGGAATGTGTCTGCACAGGCTGCAATTATAGCCTGGTGCTGACAGAAGGGAACTATGGGTCTCCAAAGAAGTCACATCTACCAGTTTTTACATTCAAAGTTCAAATAATCTTTGCAGTCAGCTCTATCAGAAGTGCTTCTCTGCTCAGGGAGGAGTCCAAGGTAATCCTTTCACTCCTGTCACTCATACCTAACCTGTACCACTTCCTTGTTCTTATAAATACAGAAGACAGTTAATAGGAAAACATCACTCTAAAAACTCAAGCAGTTCTAAAAGGGCAAAAGGAAGAAGTACTGGGAAACCTACATGCAATCTGGTCTCACTGCCTCTGGGAAGTTCGATGAGATCTAAAAGCAATCAAAAGGAAGGAATCACTTGCTAAACTTTCCTGCTCCTTTATCTAAGTTCACTCAGGCCATTGAACAGCCTGAACAGGAGCCACAAACACATAAATGCTGTGATTCCAAACCTTTAGGAAAGTGTTATGGCTCATGCAGTAGTTTTACTTTAGAATTGTAACATGAATAAGGAAATAACCTGGTTCAACTTCATGAATGTGTCATGTGTGGCAAAAATGAATTCCAAAGAAACAACTGGTTTTATCACACCAAACCTTAAATCCTACAAAAACATGTTTTTTTTCTCTTCTACATTTAGTGCAGCCTTTTCAAGTATCAAGTCTACTTTGGTATTAACCTTGAATTTCAGTTTCCCAAAACCACAGTATTTTAATAGTGTTAGCATACCCTTACCTGGTGGCACTTGAAGAGGCATTTAAGAAAATGAACTGACCACTCTGTAACAAATATTTTTGCTACACATTATGCTACAAGGATCTATATAATGTTCTTCACTGTCACCATGATTGACAATGAAGTATCAATTGTTTTGAACTCCAGATGTTTAGCTATTCCTGAATATGAACACTGGCATGTTGACAAAAACTGAGATGGAAATTTCCTGCTACTGCAAGAGTAATTTTAGCTTTTCCCTGACTTCTTCATTGATGGAAAATCTTCTCTGACACCCAAATGCAGTAAGCTCACATGACTAAAGAGCTTTAATCAACTGATGTACAACTGCTTCTGCAGTAACTTATGTCACCTGCTACTCCACATAATATTCACACTCTTGCCTTGTTACTCTACTTTTATTAAAGACAAATAAGATCATGAACACTCACTGTAAACTTGTCCTCCCTTTTCTTTCGGTAGCCATATGAGTTTTTCCTAAGGGAAAGAATGAAGATATGAGAATCTTGTTATAAATGGATGGAAAGCAGTTAATGAAAACAGGAGAAATTAATTCCAATTGCTATTTCATCAATCTTCATTCTACACAGGTTATTAAGAAATGTTTTAGGGAAAAATTCCTAGATGCTGTCCTCTGTCCTTAAAATAAAGGTATACATCTTATGCAAGTCAGTGTAAGAATACACTGGTTACAAGTAATTCCTGTGCTAAGACAAATGCTAAAAGCCTCTCAGTAGAGATTACATATTAGGGTTAGACAAAATATCACAGTATCTAAATAAGGGGGTCAGGAATTTTTGTATACCAGTGTAACTTCTCAAATACAGCTAACTATTTTCAATCCAGGTAAGGCTCCTTCAAAACATTTTCAGCACTTTGTCCCCAGCCCTTCTTCAGGTAGAGCCCCTCCAATCAGCACTGTAAAATTTGCAGTGCATTCTAATTCAGTATCAATATATTTTCTAAGTTAGTTTGACTTTTATTCTAAATGTATTCAATACTGAAACATCAAAATATAATTTTAAGTACTGACTATTCCTGTACATTTCTGAGCAATCTTGTTTCCTGAGTTCTTAATCATACTTTCATCTAGTAGTTATAATACAATTTGGTAAATTAGATTTAGAAAAGTATTACAACCCTTACACAAAATATCCATTTAATTTTGCAATGATACAAGTCTGAAATAGGATCATCTGCAAAACACTTATCTTCCAATTCGGTAAGTCACTCAAAATGTGATTTACTTGGAGTCATAAATACAGCCATTATCAAAGCTGCACAGTACTTTTATGAAGCACATATTAGAACTGTATTTATAAATATGCCAATTTTCAGCTCCTCAGGTAATTGGTTGTGGTTTTTGTTTGGTTGCTTTTAAAACAATATAACAATAGTTTCCTTAGTTGCCTATAGCAGTTTTTCCTCCCTCTACACCAATCCATCATCTTTGCTGTTGTGTATGTCCAGTTTGGTCAAAATTCTGATGCTTCAACTGAAAAAGTGAAGAATGAGCACTGCTAATACACATTCAGGTGTACAATCTACAGTGTTGAACAATGGAATTGAGCAGAACTTCTTCAATAAAGTCAAACAAATAATCTACAAAAACTTTCTTGCACCAGATGAAGAAAGGATAGAGGATTAGATCTTATAGATCTAAATTGTTCATCAGTTGCCAATAATAATTTTCATCTGGTGGGAAAGTATGCAAGTCTGCTCTGCCTTTGTTCTGTATTTAACACTTTCTGTGAAGTACTTGGCAAGATTTTAGGTTTGAGGAGAAAGTGAGTTTAAAGCAGCATTGAGAACAGTAACATATCACACCTCTACTAAACAGAGCAGTTTAGAAGCAGCAGTACTTGGCTGTTCAGAGGACAACTACGGAGCACACTCACCTTCCTCTCCCTAATCCAGGGGACGAGTCAAGGCTGGTCTGTTCCATCCGCCCAGTTCCCACTTCCCTCTTGGTGTAACTGGTGGTCGCGCTCTGCACCCGTGTCCTGCTTTGTCCCGGCTGCCGCGTCTGTGGACTCCTGACGCCATTGATTAAACGATCAGCAGAAAAGTTGAATATTGTAGGACTGTCTAGAAGCCCAGGTCCCCTTTCTGCACTGGGTATTGTATGTCGTATATGTGACTTGCTAGGATTCCTATAAATTCAAAAGTCATTTCAACATACGTGCACTATCAGAGATCTTCTGAGGCCTAAGCCTATTCACAGAATTCAGAAGAAGCAAGATCTTCAGTCCTTTATCACTTATTTCATTTATAAGAATGATCAATATTCATTTTAACAGGTCATGTGAATTATCAAAATTAATCTTTTCCCTCTCTGTTTTCAACTAGACCTTTACTATATGAATAATCCTGCTGATGACATGTCATCTCTCTGAATATTTCAGTTTATTACCCTAAATCACAGAACAGACAAGTTCTCTGCTTTCAGATTGTCCATTTACATCTCAAAACACTACATCCATTAACATCAGGAGCACCATCTGCCCTTTGGCCTCACCTTTGGCACCAGGTTCAGTTTCACACGTGTTCTCAAGTTAGCTGGCATTACTAAAATAAGCAGATGAAAACCCCATGTGCCAGATAATGCAACAGTATTGTTAAGAGATAGATGAACTTGCCTGTTTCTGGGAGGATATTGTCTGAGTGTTGTCAGTGGAGAAGCAGCAGGCTTGAAGGTTGGAGATGTGAACCCATTGATAAATCCAGTATTTGGAAATGGTGTTACCTAAAAAAAATGTATTGCATGCTTATCATTATAAACAAACAGAGTATTACTTTTCTTAACCCCATATTTTGTGCCATTCTGTGCAGGACGGTACTCTAAAGATTGTCTCAAACAGCAACAGAGTATCTGTCTACTGCCTTGTAGCTAACTTACAAAATTTCTGAAAAAACCCCAAGCTTCTGTTTTTCTGAGAAGTCAGCCACTACTGATATTCAACTTATGATAGTTCAAGAAGATTGAAAAACATCAAGCTAGAACTCTTGGCTGTAAGTTAAATAGCTCTCCTCCTATTTCACATCACACCACTCACTCATGACTTCGGAGTACCAAGATTCTTCTTTGTCAGAGCCTCTCATCTACATGGCCTGTAACTGTTTCTCTTATAATTGTATGTGAATACCTTCCTTTAAAAACCCAACAACTTCCTTTAAGCTCCTTATTCTACTTCCATTTGACATCTAAATAAAGCCTAGAGAATAAGTGGATGTTAAGTGGAACTCTGATGATTTTCAGTTATTACCACCTTATTCTACATGTGAAACACTGTCTCCTCGTCTGAAGAAACAAGATTAGCAAAACATTTTCTGGGGTGGATGCATATTACTATCCTGTAGTAAAAAGATGCCTCAAAACCTGAAGCATGTTCAAAGTAATTTCACCAACCTTACTAGCACACTTTTGTCTTTTTTATTTAAATGTGTGAGTTTCATTTAAGGAATGTTACTGTTAGCACCAGCAAATGCTTGCTTGTCTTTTTCTCCTGAAAATAACTACAATGCAGAACAAAAAGATTCTTTCTGTATTCTATTAAGTGTTGAGAAACAGCTGGGATCAAGACCATTAGCTATAAAGATACATTTAAACTTGAAAAAGGTTTCTTGTGCAAGTTAAATCACTAATTAATGGAAAACAAAATTTAACACAAAAGTGTCATATCAAACTACTGCTAGCCTAATCTAGTATGCACAACAGCAAATGCTACCTCAGGCTTCAGAAAAAGGCCATTAAAGAAGGCCTGTAACAAAGCTCCTTGAGGAACAAAGTTTCATCAAAATAATGCTTTGAAGTGCTTTCTGGTTTGAGTTACAACCTGAATGCTGCAAAATCTAATCAAAGCTAGTAAGCAACCACTGAACTTGAAAAATGAGAAGACACTGAACATATTAGGGACCCTAGCAATATTGAACTCTTCTTTATTATCATGATGCATGATCCTTTTGGAGGGAAAAAAAAAAATTTCCTATTTTCCAATAATACCAAAAGCATCTCCACAGAAGTCAACTGGTTCAAATATACTTTCTTTTCAATTTCTTTTTTTTTTTCCCCGAACACGAAAAACTAGATATTTTCTCAAATATGATTTAAGTACACGATGAAGAATTAGGTAGTTTTAGAATCCTGAGGACATGTATTGCCATATTCAAGTTTCAGAATGAAAATGGTATGCCCACACTACTGGAGAATCCAATCTCAAATTAGAGATGAGAGAAAGTACAGTTTATGTTCAAGTAAAATAGAGAAACTTTGCTGTATTTTCACACAAATCTCTATAGGCAAACTGCAACCCTGTCTCATGAAAATTATTGCTGTGTCATGGTTCCTCATGGTCCCTGTCCTCCTCAAGTGATTTCTATTCAAATATAGCTCTTCCTACAAAAGAATCAAGAAACATCACGTTACAGTCATGTACATAAAATTCAGCTAACCAATCACAATACACTGCAGAACAGTGAAAAGCAAAGCACAGACAGTTGCTTTCCTGTTTTGCTAAGAAAAGTTGGAGCTCTTTAATGCTGGCAGACTCTAGTCTTCCCCAGAGGATAGGACTAGTAAGCTTTCTTGGATACAAAAAGTTACAGGTAGATAGACAGTATGCTGTGTTTGAACCTGTGGTTTATTAATCTATGTCTTCCATACTATTCCCATCCAGCTCCTTCAGTATACCAGAGCAAGACTGTACAACAGTCAGTCTTAGTTTATCTACAGGCAAATTCACATTCATTGCTGCTTAACAAGACAGTTTTTTTCCTGGAATAACACTGCTCACTCTGTTACCTTGTCTCCTCCACATTCTTCATCCCCAGGACAACGCCTCCCCCTACAAGGGCTCTGGTTTCCTTCCCTGTGTGTGAAGTGTTTAGCACACCAACTTTTTAATTAGCTGTGGTTCAGCACAGAGGATGTTTGCTCAAGTTTGTTCAAGGACACTTTAATCCTCTGCCAAAAAAAAAACATCTAAAGGACTTGCAATTTTGAGCATTGCTCCCCTTTTTGCTTTGAGCCACAAGTAAAGAGGCATCTCCAGAGGGGAGAAAGAGGCTCCACATAGGAAACCTGAGCCTCCCAGTCATTACAGGAAGCTCCACGTATTTGTAGGGTAACAAAGGCAAACTAAAAGGGGCCAAGGTAATTCTGATGACATTATCACAGTGCAGAAAAGACAGAAGCCGCATTGCAGGATACAATAGATATCTCATTAGAGTATTTAAAGATTTATTGCTTCCATCATAGGTTCAAGCCTTACCAACAGTCCTGTTAAGAAAATAATTTAAAAAGCAATTTAAAAGTGATTTCTGTAATTAGCAAGAGCAATTTTACTTGTCATTGCCAAAAGAGATGCTACTATTGCACAGAAAGTATTCTACTTTAAGAACATGCCAAATAGGGCAATTCAGCATGTTAACCTACAACCCAAATTCCTACTAGAGGATCAAGATAACTTGGTATCTTGACAAGTCTTTACTAAAGAACTGCCTCAAAACCTAAAAGGTTTAAGAAAAGTTTAAGAAGAGAATCATACTCCAGTCTGAGATCGGACACAATTTTCAAATAATCCATCTTGTACACCATGGCAAGGATTTTGAAGGACTGTTTTTCAAGAAGAACCGTAATCTTAAACTCCTCTCTTCAGGACAGGTGTGTTTCCTACACCTCAATAAGAAAATAGTATCAGCTTGGAAAAGAATACAACTGTTTCAGAATCAAGAGACTTACCAGTGAAGGGTCAAGGTAGCTGTGTGTGGCTGACCAGGTCTGTGGGCCAATTAGGCTGTACAGTGGGAAGTGCTGCTGGGGACTGTATACTGGAGGTATGTAAAAGGAAGTTGTGTAGCGCTGCTGCGTGTAGAGGTTCATATCCAGAGGTCTATATCCATTCTTTGGCAAAAATGTGTTTATAGCTATTGCCTTTGCTTTTATCCTTGCCTGCAAAGGAGATTAGATTATTTATTACAGCAGTCTTTCAGATTATATCAGGATGGTTCAAATTAGCAGCTCTCAAACTTTTACTGGACACTAATCAGTCACTGCTTTGTCCTTCGAGGACAGCAGGAACAGCTGAATGCTTCCCTGCTGCCTGATGCTGGGCTGGATATACCACTGACAGAAATGAGGAAAAGAAAAGTGAAGTCTTATGTGCTACATTTCTAAACCCACCTCCAGGTCAAACAGCTGCTGAGATTGGACCACTTAAATTTATATTAGAAATCACAGTGAGCACCACCAGAACATACACACACACCCCATCCCTAACATCATAAACCTCTATTTACCTTAATTGGCTTTCCTTGGAAAGTCTTCACTTCTTCTCTAAGGTATCTGTAAGCCTTTATAAAAAAGAAATTGTTAGATTTGTCAAATGTAATTTAAATAAAGGAAACTTAAGTTTTGACAGGCTCAGCCTAACAATAATTCTTAGAGTATCTGCTAATGTTACAGTATAGCAAACTCTCATACATCATCTGCATTTAGTAACATTTAACTTATCATTAAGTGCTTCAGTAGCAGTAAAACAAGACTCTAATGGTTATGATTGAAGCATTTTATTGTGCCACCAAAAAAGTCAACACCCTCAGTACAAAAAAATCATAGCTTTAGCCAGGAAGCCAGGATATATGAAAAAGACAAAAAAAAAAACCCTCTTGTTATGTTTAATAGTTACTGAAGACTGGATACTACCTAAGGGAAAGCACTACTGTTTTTAAGTTGTTACACATTTGTAATACAGTTTACAACCTGTCAATTCACCCTCATATCATCCTTATTTACTTTTACATTCTAATATGCTTCAAAAAACAGCATTACCTGCTGTGCATCAGCTTCCGATTCAAATGTGATGAACCAATTGTCATTATAGGCAAACTCACAGTTGATGAACTTAGGCAAATTATCTCCTTTGAAAAGTGCTTCAACCTCCTGGGGAAAGTGGTTTGAAAAGGAGGTGGGGAAGGATGGAGAGAAGAAAACATCAATGTAAAATGCAAAACTCTGACACTGAGAAAGAAGACAGAAAGCACTGTTGGGCTTACGAAACATAACGGAGTAGTTCAGAACACCTGCAGTAGTGTCAGCTCTCTCCAATCTCCCCAGTGGAAGGAATTAAAACTAGCACTAAGGCCATACTGCAAGAGAGGTTTAGTTTAGCTGGGAGCTATTTAGGCTAGAGAAGACATTTAAACTTGGTATCAAATGCAAAAAGATGTCTATTTCTCCCCTGTCCAGAAAACCATGGAGCCACATGAAAACCTGTGCATATGGTATAGGATAGGAAAATTCTGCCTTTTCAGCAGAAGCCTGCAACTAAGCTTTAACTCAAATGTCTACAGATTCATGTATTTAAAACACAGCTTATGTTACCTCAAACATGACTGGCTAGTTTCTCCAGGAGAAGCAGAGCCTGGATTTTTTTTTTTAATTTATTTGCATATTTTTTTATTTTGTAACAGATTTGAGATGAGCAGCATCAAAAGGTAAAACAACTTGGGAAGCCTTACAGCATCTTGGAATTTTGCTGCTTAAATAAAGCCTGACTGTGTTGTGCTAGAAAACATAGGCTATTAAATCTGGTTAGTTAAATCTAGATTTTCCCAGCACAACAAATTTAAATCCAATGTATAAACATTTCACGGGAGAACAACTCTTCTGAAAACAAAGACAACTCAGAACTTTTTTGTCAAACATTTAAGAGTGAATATCCAGTGGTAATATATCCAACCTGATGAACTCATGACAGGAAAAAAAATCTATAATACTAAAAGTTAGGCAGTCTTTGAAAGGCTACATTTAATTTGGAAAGCTAGAAGTAGCCATTATTTTAAAGCTATGCACATAGCATATATCCAACTTCTCCCCCCAGCTCCTTTTAGCATTTTGTGTCATGTTCCTTTTATTAAGGCCACTTACTTTTTTGTTACCAGTTTCTAAACTGAAGTACTTCTCATTTTTGTATGATGGCTATTAAGAGGAGCAACTCTTTCAGAATCTTTAGTCTTCTTTGTAAAATTAAATAGAAGAGAAACTAAAATATATACCCATCATCAAGAATCTGCACCTTCTCCTCCTTCTTGAAAATTCAAGATGGTTAAATATGACCCCATGATTTTTTGCTAGTATTTCCATCAGTCATAGTCCCTGTTTCATCAGAGTGACATTAAGTATCTTTCAAAGAATAAAGTTCTCCATTCTTGCACTCATTCCACAAGCCAGTGGAGATCCTTAGTGACTTATTGACACCTCTCACCTCATCATTATGGAAACATTTACAAAGCTTTAACTACTTTACTTGAACAAGCTTCAAGGTGCAGCAGTGGCCTTTTCTAGTCTAAGCCTTATGTTCTTTCGTCTTTGTCTATTTATCCAAGGATCTGAGAGCACCAAGTGCATATAGGTTGGACAAAGCCCATGAAAATGATGTATCTCTACCAGAGACAGCACTATCAGTTTCCCAGCCCTCTGCGGAACTACAGATTCTACCATAGTCTTGCTATGAGCAACACGTGTCTACCAAAAATATTTCTTATCCAAACAAAGACAATAAACTAAGTTTAAGAAGTGCTGTTAGAAACTAACAGTTTAGTAAAAAATCTGAAGTGCTTATTGAAATTTAGAAGAAATCTAACTTCCAAGTCCTAAGGGGAAAGAGTTCTTTACTGAACAAGGGAACACTTACTTCAATGGGAGTAGATTCGGGTACTTCACGTAAAATCACAATACAGCGATTCTGATTTGGCCGAACTTTTTCCCCCTTTTCATCCACTTGAACTAAAGGCAACGCTAAGAGAGAAAAGACAAGAATGCATTTTAGCTGTCAACAAACCTAGTAGCTTTGCACTCCAAAAGATGCTGTGAACATAGACTTACAATGCAGAGCCTCAAATATTTTTGAACATTAAGAAACAGGCAGACAATGTTTCTGTTCATCATTTACATGCCTGAAGAACGCTTTCTAGTCTTTTACAAAATTTGTAGCTCTGGCCAAACTAATTTTGAGCGAGCTTTTCCATTTATAACTGCATCTCTACCCTGGAGAGAAGCCCTTGTAGCTTCCACTAGGTATTCATTCTCCTTTCCATCTCTGGTATGCCTCTCTCTTTGTTTTGAGCAAACTCAGAAGCACAGAGTTAAGCCAAGGGGGTCTCTTGATCCACCTACTTCCCTTACCTTTACAGGGGATGAAATGTTTTTGTGCTTCCAGGAGAGAACTCCCAGCACTAGTATAGTTAGTGTCTTTATCCTCCATGGAAACTTCCCACAGAATTCCTCCCAGCTGTGCTCTGAACAAGCTGAAGTTTGCTCTTGCAAAATGTTAAACCTTAGAAACACTCAGTGTGCTCAGCACGACCCCAAATGCTACAGTTCTGTGATTGGTGCAGCCAAGGCCTGCACTGAGATGCACAAAGCAGGTTTTCTCAGTTTCTGAGCAGGGAGTCCAGCAGTGCCTCATTCCTGGTCGGCACATCTAACACTCATATGGGGAAACAGTCCTCTGCACATTCCAGAAACTTGATGGATGACATGAGCCGCTGTATTGTTCTTCCAACAAATATCTAAGCCATTGAAACCAACTGTAAGAACTGGGCTTGGCTGACCCAAAGCTCACTTAAGTGACACAAATATTGCTCTGTTGGCCTTATTTTCTTGGTTTAGGTCAGTAGCAAATGCCAACTGTAAGATCCCCCTTGGAAACCACGCCCAGGGTCTTGGCCCACAGAGCTTCCATAGAGCTTCCATGACTGATGCAGCTGATTTCTATACACTGAAGGTTCTCTTCAACAGAGTGAGACTCCTCCATCCCCTTTTCCCCACCTGTCTTTACAGAACAGTCTAAGAATATCCATCATGATCCTCCAATCATGTGAATTGTCCCACCACATCCCACAATTTAAAATCGTTAATTCTTATGTGCATAGATCATTATTCAATAGCTGGAATACAGAGCAGCTTTGATAAAACTAGTCCTAAAACTGTGATGATCTGATGCTTTCTAGCACTCAGGAACTTTTACTTACATCTCAGCACTTCAACAATCAAATCCATATCAGTACTGAGTTTCTTGACATGATCAAGATTTGCTACTGTCATTATTGGCACATACTGATCACTGTCCATCTGTGATATAAGGTACATGTCACTGGCAAGATTTTCTCTGTTGGGAGGAAAAAAAATATGGAAACATCACAGATTAACTTTGTCCAATAAACTTAAGACAAAAATTTAACACATACTAGAAGACTGATTCCTTCAGCATTTTTGCTAATTAATGAAAATCACTGGCTTAAAGCTTGCTAAATATTTGGCTTAAATGATTCAGTTTTAATTATGAGCAGTAAAGATGATAAAAATTCACCTGATCTGTAATTGCTTATACCTACTTTCATTTCAAACCCATATATTTGCTAGTTTATACATTAGGCACAGAGGTTTCAGGTAAGTTTTAAGAGGTACAGCAACACAACGCTCTGAAATTTACGTGTTACTTTTTCCAAATTCTCATCCTTTCCACTCAGTTTTAGGTAACAACTAAGAAATGTAATAACATACATCTCAAGCAGTTAGTCATCCTCCAGTTTGGTACATTTATGTAAATACATACCTAGATAAACAGAATTCCAGTGTCTTTTTCAGTAATTCTCGTAAATCTTCCTGACCTTCTGGCTGCAACTGTTCGTTTCCACCTAATAATTAAAATACTTCAAATTAAAAAGTAGCTCTGCTATATTACACAATATCTATTTTAAACAAGCCATCATGTCTGTTACTGACTACATAAGTAGTAACCAATTTTCAAATTCAGTAGATGTTCATTATGTGTTAGTTACCAATCCCTGAAATGTCATGGCAACTCTTTTTGTTTAAGACAGAAAAGAGAAACCATGTCTGACTTCATTTGTTAACCTCTGTTCTCCATATACATAAAAATCTGAAGCACTTTCAGGACAGCTACAAGCGCATCTCAGAGTAAATACTGAAGTGATTTGGCTTGTAGATCTGTGCTCCATTCTCAGGAAAGTAACCAATTTCTAGCTGACAAAACCCTGACTAATGCAATGCAAGGGAACAATGCAATGGAGGAACTTCTGGTCTCACTCTAAATTACCAACACATTAACTCAGAGAAGGTTTTCAAAAATATAGTTATGGAATATGAGCAGATATCCAATCTACTAACAACAGATATGTAATCAATTTACAATCTTTTGGTTAAGAAGGCAAAATTAATTTCTTTCTAATATATGGAAATTTAAAAATTATCAAATGGAAAACAAGAACCTCATGTTCCTTTTAGATTAGACACAATATACCTATGTCAGTAGAGAGTAAACTCATTGTGATAGTGGGAGAAGTGTTTAAAGAGTAGAAGTTTTGTGTGGCCTTTAGAGCTTTATAAAACATTTAGTAGCACATTGCTCATGTAAATATAAATTAGCTTTTTAGAAGTATTTCACATCAACTATTGTCCTCTATACCCTTCCCTTCACTAACTTTTATTCAGCTCTCCTTAGCCTTTCTTCTTCCTAAAGCAACTTCTAATTTTCTCCCACCATGCTGTCCTCCACATGTTCTACTCTGAAGAAAAGAACACCAACACCTGAGAAATACATGTATCATGTTCTAACCATATTTCCTTTTATAAGCATTTTTAAAACTAATTACTAAAAAATCAAAGATCAGATTTCAGACTTGGGACCATGTGTCATTATTCCCCAAGTGGAACAGACTCAACCTGCTGTTCAGCTGTTTACAACACTATTGAACTTGTTTTAAAAGTTAATTATTTTGGGCACATAAAGGACACACTGACAAGTTCCAGCACTAATCTGAAGAATGCTGTTCCCTTTTAGAATGTGAGGCACCATTAATACAATTTCCTGTTCGACAGCTAGTTATTTAATATTCCCCAATAGTATCCTTAAGTAAAAGTGTTAATGAGAACTTTCAGTTTTTAAATATAAGCAAAGATGATGCCACAACAATGTCTGATTTTCTGATTTCAGTTGCCTTGATTTGCAGCTATTATGGATGCTATATGGATAATTTTAAATACAAAATCAGCTAACCGCAATAATTAGACCTGTTGTGAATCTCGATAAACAGCCAGCACATTTTCCTCTCCTTCCCATCCCTCATCTCAGTTCAAATAGTAATCCTACTTGCATCTTGGAGACCTTTTGTCCCATTCAATGAAATATAGCCAGGGTGAATCTCTATGCTAGTTTCCAGAAGCTTCTTAAAACATACCATCTGCTATAGACTACAGCTACTAACAGTAGCACTGAAGAGAAATTCTGGAAGTTGATTAAGTAAGAATGTGAAGAAGTTAATACTAAAATGTTGCTTATTTCAGCATTTCAAGTACAAAACGGGTCTTTCCCTACATTAACATTACTACTTGAGACAAAAACTGCACGTGAATCTCACCTCAGTACCTGACCCAGCTAGAAACATGCATTTGTTTGATTCTGTGCAGCACCGTCTAAGATTTAAACCAGGAGGAGACTGGCCTCTAAACACATCCAAATTTGATTGCAAAAGAGACAGGAATTGCTAGGGTCTGTTTAAAGAATGCCTATATTGAATGAGGCATTGGTATAGTTTGGGGGGCTTTTTTTGTTTTTCAGATGCTCACTGATGTTCAACTCAAAATATGTGTTTAGTTTGTTTTTAAACTAAGTCCAAGCACATCCTTATCTTTCTCTTACCTGTCTGGGTGGTTTCATGCATAGACTCATAGTCGGAATGATCGAGAGCCAAAGGGTTCATATCCGCCTGCTCTGAGCCCGGAACGGCCGCGCTCGGCTCCGGCAGCTCTGTCAGCACCGCGTTCTGATGCTTCTTGTCGCCATCGCCATTGGCATCCAGTCCTGCAGCACACGTCACAGACACACTCAAAAGTGCTCTTTCTAATCACAGAAATGCCAGAGTTAAAACTACATCTGAAATAAAATTGATTACCTACTTGCTTTACATTTTTTAACAGAAAATTAAAATTGAGACAGTGATGCACCGAATTTTAACTTTTGCTTGAACAACAGCCAGAAACTCTTATTCATACCTTCTGTACAGGAATCTGGAGGCTGGTCAGGTATTTCTTCCCACGTTTTGCTCACGCTACCATCAGTGGCACCACTTGCTTCCAAGTGTAACATATGATTTCCCCACACCTTTGCATTGGGGTTTAATTCAGAAACCTTGGCTGACTCCTGAAAAAAGAAATTGATTATGCATTTCGGGGATGCACAGCAGGCATCTCTAGTGCACAGATACATTCAATTTCAAGTAAAAGTATCAGACATACAACTCAAGATTTTACTATCATGTTTTTTCACACCTGAATATATTAACTGAATTCCCATAATCATTTCAGGTACAAACACAACTGAATTGTAGTGCACAGTATTTCATTTCCCTGATTAAGAACCACCAGAAAATGCTAACCAAGCAGAGCAAATTACAACAAACATTTCATTCTGCCTTTGACAAACTAACTCAGCCTGTACTTGACCTAGACTTCAGGCAGTTCTCTAATATACATGTCTACTTGATATTGATTATATTGCTATTGTACCTTTTTCTACAAAATAATACTAAAAAGAAATCAAGAAAATACAAAAGTACAGGGATTTTTCTGAAATTATATAACCAGGTAACAGTTTTAATGAAACCTTCTGGAAAACTGAAAGCAGTAAGATGCACATGACAATTTCTGTTATTTTAGAGGAGGAACAGAGCATTAGGACAAAAAGGATGAATAACCACATCCAGTTAAATCATCTCAAGATAACCTCTTTTAAACTGGATTGGAAATGGACACATTTAATGATTACATATGGTTATATACAGCCATCATATAAATGGTCACATCTGTGCTTAAGAGTGATGGATCTCTGCAGTGCAAACATCTACTACAATACTTTAGAGTAACATGAGACTTGTTTTGCTTATGTTTGAGCAAAATGCATTGAATTATTCCACACAAAACATATGTTGAGTGTTTTAATGTAATTACACTGGGAAAGAATATTGCTCATGATAAGACACACACTAAAAAAGCTTATTAAAAATTTGCTTTCTAAATTTATAGATGCTAGGAACATTACACTGTGTAAAGACAGGCACTCCAAAACCCCAGAAAGCTTTAAATATTCTTAAACACATGCATTCAAATACTTATCACAATACATAGAAAATATATCCAGAAAATAAAAAAACCTTAAAAATTTTTCTTAAACACATCTCTTGAATGACAGAGAAGACTTAACAAAAAGCAGAAGTGTTTGACATAACTACTTGCATAGTAAGATTCAAAGATGACAGCAAGATCCATCAGTTTCCATTAATATAAGACATTCCCCCAGGAGACAGCAAACAGCCTCGAGCACAACCCACTGCCCACACTGCAATGCTGGGCAAGGTCAGAGCAGCTGTTCCAACACAGCCAGGGGGTGAGGGGAACAATTTCAGGGAAGCTCAGCAGGGAAGGAAAAGGAGCAGCAGCTGCTACAGGTTGACTTCTGCAGAGTGGGTAAGGCTGGAGGGGACCACTGGAGGTCATCCAGTCCAACCTCCCCACCTGAGCAGGGTCCACAGAGCAGCTCAGGATTGTGTCCAGACAGCTTCACTTGTTTCTTAACCCAGCTAGCCAAGATCCATCCTAGGTCCTTCCTCTTACTTTGGCAGACACTGTTCTCTACAGCACTATTCACCTCCAGAAGTGAGGAAGAGATTTCCTAATTGCTACCAAACAAGATCTTCAGGAAATCTACAAATATTTCTTCCTGTACAAAGCTGAAGAGCATTAAGAATGGTTTGTAGCAAGCTTCCTTTCTGCACACTGTTTATTTTAAGTTCAGCTGGAACTGAGAACCTGAAATCAAGTTACTTTGTGTGAGAGTTTAGTCATTAGCAAAGTAAACAGAACAAAAAAATCAATATTCAGCAAAATTTTTGACTTCTGCATTCTGTATAGCATTTGGTTTTTCAAAGGAAAGGGAGTCATCAGGTTCAGGACAAAATAACATCTATTTAACTAATGAAACCACAGTTTGACTTGGCTTAGTCAAACTTCTAGCTTCAGCTTTTAGAGCAAATCACTTCTGCAGAATACTTACAAGTTCGTCTTTATTGTGCCATCCCCACGTACCAGCATGTTCCGGTGCTAGCAGCTGATATGGGTATGTTTCCACTGCATATGAAGCACTTGTTAAATTTTCATGTTCATTTTGGAAGTTTTCATTAACTATACACAGTCTGTCGTTCTTCATGGTATCATTAGGAGCCGCATTATTCCATAAAAAGCCCACTAGATATTCACCATTACCAGAAGGAACTGTGTCAGAAAGCAGCTGATTTGTCCAATCAGCATTGCCAGTCTGAAGATTGATGAAATGTGACCACATTTCAACGTGGGGATTTTGTCTCTCCAGGTCATAGGACTGCTTTTGGTCACTTGATCCATCTTCCATCAGACCTAACACGCACTGCTCTCTGCCTTGCTGAAATCCTGCTGCACCAGGAGAGGCACCGGGTATTTCATAAGAAGGAGTAGCAGCGTATTTGTCTACCTGCTTTGGGTCAACACAAACTCCAAGCTCTTTGTTTGAGAAAATCTTGTGATCTGGCTGCATCTGTTCCCAGCTTGTGGTCAAGTCATTCATCTGAGTATTTAATATGTAACTGGTGCTTTTCAGTTCAATAGTCTTGGCTTGCAACTGCTCCAAATTCCCCCTGGTAAAAGGTTCTAGATTCTCAGCTGATAAACCAATATCAGTGAGGTTCTCCTCTGCATGGCTGCTGACATACTGGTTTATTTCACCTTCCTGAAGATTACATTCATTTACATCACACATATTTTTATCATGAGTTTCTGATCTTTCTTCAGGAAAAGGCCCAACAGGAGTTTGAGTGTTCCCAACTTCTGGCTCTGGACTGGCACAATAACACAACTCAGGCTCTTCTGCTGGTTTATCATGCTCATGACAACATGCATTTTGACACAATACAGGCAAAACATTATGGTCTTTATTTAAGAGTTTACTGGCATCTTCCAGATTTTTAGTGGCACCTTTTAATTTTACACTCCTGTCCATATAACTGTCCGTGGCTGCAGGTACAGTGGAGTCTGAGGGAGCATTCTGACTGGCAGCCAAGCCTTTACTGCAATTGAAGATGCCTTTATCACAATCAGCAATGTTACCATCCAGGTTCTGGTTTACATTTTCTGCCTTGTTATCAATGGACTCATTTAGTTGACCTTCAAATTTTGTCTGTTTTACAGATTCTACTACATGCCCAGCTATTTTGGCTGACTCAGTCTCTGCACTCCATTGATTTTCCACTGTGTGGAAGGAACATACATCCTGTTGTTCATCTTGTCTGCTGTTCATATCTATTTTATTCATATGCTCACATTCCACAGACACAGAAGAGACACTGGTTTTGTTATCTGGATTTGAATATTTGCATACTTTGTCTTTACTTTGTAGTAACTCTTGTGAAACCTGACACTCTAGGCTGTTTTCCTTTAGGAACATTTCACCTCTGCTTGCATTATGTGCATGAGGTTCCACAGTGCCATCACTTATCCCTGATCCAGTTCTGCTCAAGTCACCAGCTTCCTCAAACAAGTCACCTTTTAGTTCAGTGGCACTCACACAGGTATCTTCCTCCATGCCACTGTGAATTGCAGCTTCAGATGATGTCTTGATTTCAGTGCAACCCTTAATGTGAGTTTGAAAATCAGAACCTTCCTCCAAGTTTAGCTGTGTTTCAGTCATGTTCAAAGCTTCACAGCTATGAGAAACTGTACCAGCGCATTTCTCTCCCTCTTTCAAGGATTCTTCAAAACTGCTGCGATGTTCACTAGAATCTGGTGAAAATGTTTGGCTATCACCATATGTTCTGTCAAGTGTTTTCTTTTCCACATTTGAGTTTACTTCACTTTCTGGCTCTAGAAAGCAGACTTCTTCATCAAGTCTGTCTACACTATCCATTTCATGTAACTCCAATGACAATTTAACGTTATCCCCTATGTTGTCTACCACCTGTTTAGTATTTATTTGCTCTGCGACACTTGAGGAATGCCTAGTTAGTGGCACAACTAGTGCTACAACATCAGAATGATTACTTCCTTCGGTTTTTCCTGAATTTGATAGTCCAGTGTTTAACAATACCTTGGAAATACAATCACTGTTTTTCACCTTTTCTGAATCAGGGCTGTATTGGTCCTCTTCAGCAGCATCCACAGGCTTTACAGAATCACAAGCTGTATGCAGTGATTCATTCCAACTGGCAGCACAACCCATGGTATATACCTCCTCTTGCTGATTCTCAGGGATGATTTCACCAGGCACTTTTGCTTTTAAGACATCTGTTACTGTACTGTCAGTATTTAACCTATGCACCTGACACCTATCAGTCAGTAAGTTATCAAAAGAACACTGGATGTCTAGGCTACAATATTCCTTTGTATCCTTTTTCTCCAGGTTTGAGCTATCCTCCTTTTTATACTCAAACAGTTCTTTCTGTGAATTAAACTCAGCGTCCACTTGTGCCAATTGTTTCATTGGAAATTCCTTCCCCCTGTCTAGAGGTCGTGCCATGGTGCACATTCCTTCATCAGTAACAGCTGAGTTATCTACGTCTGCTGCAGTCTCTTCATGCACAGTAGCTGGCACCTCTTCATCCCCTTTCAGATCTTCGGCATCTACAACACAAATGCTGTAAAACTCCTTGTCTTTCACATTTTGACTGGTGTCTACATCAAGACAGGAAAATGTTGGAGACATCTCTCTATATGAACTCGAAACTTTCTGTAAGCTGTCACTCTTGCTGTCTTCAACATTTACTGTTGTTTCATTTTGCCTTGAATGGTCACATGTAACTGCATAATCCTCCAGAGAATTTCTATTTAAGGAAATTTCACTCTGTAAGCCTTTGTCTACAATATCTGGTACGTGTGAATTAGAAATATGATCAAACAAGCAATGCTCTTGTGAAGCTACATTCTCATTATTAATAGTGCTATTATTTTCTATATTGTTCACATGCTGACCATTACTATTAAGTTTTTTAGGTGCTCTGTTTTTAATAACCTTATCTTTCTTTTCTTCACTTGTCTGCAGATTTCCATACATACCAGAGACTTTCAAGAGGTGACTAAAGGAATTAAAGAAGCTAAAAGGTCTGCCATACGTCCTCCTAGGGCTCACATGGGGAGTATTCCCCATGCTGTTATATGACGAATACTTTCCTTTTCTACCCCAAAAACCAGATTTAGAATCTGACACTGCACAATCATCACTACAAACACGTTCAATGCCGACTGTCACAGCTGCCCCATTAACTGTCCTTCCCACTGTATGCAGATCCTGGCTTTCCACAGTTCCAAAAATTGAAGATAAAGTTTTACTTATCCTTGACTTTGGTGCTTCCTCTTCCACAGATTTTTGTAACAAGCTGGTTTTCTCCTCACTTGTGCTGTTACTCAATTCCTTACTGAAGCAGCAGCCCATGTTTAATAAGTAGTGTCAGGGGGTCTTCTCATTGCAAATCACCTTCCTCTTTACACAAACTTTCTATGGCTACTGAGAAGACAAGCCAACACCCAACTGCTAAAAATAGCACACTTTAAAACCATGCAGGGGTTCACATGTCATTGCCACTCAAAGTCCAATTCCCAGTTGCTGAGCAATGTTTCAGTATTTCATCATATACACTGTAATATTCAAGCCAAATACTCCTTCCAATAAGATTACAGTCTGTTTAGGAGTATTACCGAGTCTCATGAACTTCTATTGTTTAATTTCCTAAAAAGTTTTGCCCATCCAAATCATTAAAATATTTAAATAAATCTTTCACAATGCCCACGTGTGCCAGAAACTACTTGTTTTCATATTTAATACAACTCCCACCTTCTATACAAGGACAAATGCATTCTGGCTTTACATGTTTAAATCTGACGTGTAGATCAAACACTTTTTGGACCATTTTCTCCTTCTCCTCCCTTCCCCCAGAGCTGAACCTACACCACAATTACTTCTTTAGGAAAAACAGGCTAAAGATAGATAAGACCTCATGTATTCCATTGAGCAGTCATTGTACGTTATCAGAAGCTAATTCTGTTCCAAGCCTTTTTTTAAAATTTGTTATCGGCATGAAAAAAAAAAAAAATACATAATTCCTAAGTGACTTACAGCACTGAAGGGGGCTTCAAGATCATTTACCCACCTCATGGTACTGTGACAGGATTAATTATACTTAAGCTCAGAAAAAAACCCTGTATCCTTTTACTAAAAATTCAAAAGTATTTAAAAAGTAATTTGGCTGAATGCTATTCCTTCCAAAAGTCTGTCCTCAGTATAGTTTTCATTTTTGTACATATACAGATTCCTTCTGATCTCATAACAACAAAACCTTTTTTATACACATGTATTTACATATTGAAATACTTCTATTACTGTGAGTTCTTGTAGTTGCTAATAAAAAGTGGTTCTGTTTCTTCAAATATAAAAGCCCAATAAAAAAGCTGAAAATACGCAGCAATCTTTTTCTGCCCTAAACAGATTTGTTCTTCTTCGCCTTTCCATTACTTCACATCACTCAGACCTTCTCTCAAATGCATTGCTATTATTTCAGATTTGGACTCCATACTTCAGAAAGCTTACAGAGTGTACAACTACAGCACCACTCTACTCTGTTACTTAAAAAGATATTGAAAATATGTAAAGAGTGTAAGACAAGACAGACCCTTAAACTCTATTTCAAATGTTCTTTCAGATGAACACTTAACCTGCTGCTATTTTTCCACTGGTTGTGCACCTTATGGCAATTAATATTCCACTAACTCTGATCATAAAAGATTGCTGAATTGACAAAAAAAGTACATCCCCTCTTCAACAAGTCTGTTTTGAAATTGTAAAGTAAGATCAGAGGAAAACTACCCTCCCCCCACTCCTTATCCAACCCAGGAAGACTCCAAGTGCCTGCAGCTACACTGTTCCTAAGGATAGGAAGTCTGATGCATCATTGCTGCCATCTGCTGCATTTTTTTTAATTCTCCCCTGGGACAAAGTTATTCAACATGCTTGGATCCAGACTGAAAACTATGCCAAGTCACTCCTCTCTTTAGCATTCCCTGGAACCGAGAACAGGGAAAGGGGGAGGGAGTTACTTATAATAGTTTTTTTGAAGAAATGCCATGAGCAAACAATTTAACTGTTTTTAATGTCAGCTTAAAGTCACAGTAATACCTAAAAAAATCAAAACTATTCAGAAAACTCCCTTATCAGATAAACAAATAGCAAGATTTTTCCCTTTGTGATTTAACCATTTCTAACTCGTGCTTTCTAGAGAGGAGCTAAGTGTCTTTAAGAGACAGACCAGGGCAAAGTCCACTTTTCTAGTGCCTAACAACCACTTCTCCTATCAACTAATGGGAAGAAAAGGGGTGAAGCAGTTCAGGCAAGCAGAAACTTATTCCAGTTTTCCCATACCCTTCTCATGTGTACATTTTGTACTTGTTCCCTCGTTTTTATCTTAGGGTTCCAGGGATAATTTCTATTTTAAAGCAGCTACAGTGTACATTCATTAAGTCAAATTTCTCAATACTATTTAGTGTGGGATTAAAACTTAAAAAAAAAACCAAAAAAACAGGCAACATGAATTTAAGCAGAAAATGCCACTCCTGTTATGCTACAGCACTCAAGGCACCTTCTGGTTAAGCTTAACACTGCCACCAGCTTGAAAAGCACTTAACAGAGTTCATGCTCTGCTACTTCAGAGCCCAATTTATCTGGGGAGTAAACTTTGTTATTTTGTTTTTGTTTTTTTCCCTTTATTCATGCATATTTTAGCTCTGGTATATTTCTCATCTATTCAAAGCCTAAACAGGTTTTCTGACTGCATGAAACAAAAATGCACTGAAGCAGCACTTTCATAACCTGAACAATTACTTTTTTTAATAGGTATTTAGTCTTATGTCCTGCACACACCTACACAGAAGGCAAGAAGTCAACATGCTTATTAACTAGAGTATACTTCCCCATCTTTCATTTCTCCACGTACCTATTCTTTGCCAAGTAGTAAGGGCTTATCCCAGAAATATTTTTATGATATATCCCAGATATATTTTTAAATTTAAAAACATAATCTAGATTTAAAGTTACAATAACACAACTCAAAAATTAGTCCAATCTAATTTCCTTTATTCTTTCTCTGTAATAAAGTCAAGCAAATATAACAATTTCTGAAGAAACAGATGTGTGTGCACTCCCAGGCCACACCTGATGCCATGCCCATCACCAGTCAAGGGAACAGAGAAGAGCAGCGTCACAATGGATGTTGAAGGACACTACTGCAGGCTTCTGAAACAGCTGATCAAACTGCCTAACTTTCCCTCCAACCGATCACGGTTAATGGACTGCTAAGAGTTTAAGTACATATTCTACACACTGAAATAATCAAACATGAGCATTAGATGTCATCTGCATGTATTAAACTATTCTTATAGCCTATTCACTTTTCTTATGGCCTAAATCTAGAATACCACAACAGAAAAAGCAAACCCCAACCAGTATTGATCCATCATGATGCTAATACTGTACGTATCCAGTTAAAGTCCAAATCTCCAATTTCTTGTTTAAAGCCAGTTGTGATCTCTTAAATTATTAAATACCACTTTATACAATCTGCTGCTTAACATTAAACTGGCACATACTGCACGTAATACTGTGTATTGTCCAGTGATCTGAGGATTATATGGTATACTGAATTTTCACCGAGCACATGGTCCTGTATTTAACTAGCAAACCTGATTTCCTCAGTTCCTCTTCATTCTGAGGCTTATTCTTGAATGGGTTGCAGAAGGATTTTTGAACATAATCCAGCAGCAGTAAGCCTGAGACATACTTTTATAGTACTTCCTAAGGAAAACATTTTTGGGAAGTAAAATTAAGTGCCATCTTTCAGGAAGTTCTAGTTATTTTTCCCCTGGTTTGAACAACAGCATGATTGAACTTGTATTTATAGTACCTATAAGGCTTGACAAAAATCAGTGTACCACACAGATTTGAATTCCCATTACCAGAAACCCATGGCAGTACCTGGTAATTATCAGCTAGGGAATGAATGGGTAATTCTAATATTGCAATCAGATGGTAAGTTTAAATGGCACCACTGTAATATCCTGCACTGGAACACCCATTTGCAGAACTTGTTGTTGCTTGTTGTCACACAAGAATCCCTTCTAAAGATATTTTCAAATTTCCAGATCAGGTCTTCAATTTGGAAAGTGCCGAGAGGCCACACATTCAAATGTGAGCATGGCAGAGGAAGAGTTTAGGTTCAACAAGCAAGGAAAAAGACTGTGCATACCTTTAGCACTAAAAGTCAGTTAAATCTTATCTGGCAGAGACAGGACATACAAACTACCTCTACCATGGGATTTGCACCTTGGCCTCTTCCCTCAGAGTAACCTAATTTCTAGCAGCAAAGAGTTACTGTTGAAAAGGAAGCACAGAAGTGAGTCAAAATGGAGTGAGCTGCTTCTTAAATGCTGACTCTCCTCGGTCCAGCCTAACAAGGGCTTTCTCAGAAAGAGTAATTGTCAATCAGGATACAAATGGTCTATTGGCAGATGTCACCTGAAGTGACAAAGCCCACCTCTAGGTTAAAGAAGCTGAAAAAAACAGCACATTTAACTCCCAAAGCTAAGAAAACCATGGAAGTTAAGAATATGCTAGTATCCTCTAAGCTATGTACCTCCAATGTGTTAAGTGTACCTCCAATGTGTTAAGTCTAAGCTACTATTGACAAGAAATCCATGAAGATCTCAAGATGCCTATTTCCTTCAAACAACTTGTATGCAAAATTCTGCTGTTAAATACCACTAGAATCAGCCAAACTGATTGGTTGTGTTGGAATTGAACCATACTAGACTTGTGATTGATCTACATTATGCTTTAAATAGCATTGTTTCATAGCTACTTCAATGCAGAAGAAAAGACTGTCTCACTCACTGAGGTTAGACTTTGAAACATGATAGTGAACAAGTGATCTGTGTATCTTTAAGCAGCAACCCTGAAAAGTGATTTTTGAAGGATTCCATCCAAACATCAAAAACTTCATTTTAATTTAGTCACTATTGATTACCTATTCAACATTACAGTAGAATGTCTTCAGTTTTGTTCTTGCCAAACAAGAGAATGACTAAGTTCATAATTAGAACAATTAAGTTATTGTTCAAAGAGAAAACAAAAAAAAAAAACTTCATATAACCACTTCTGATGAAGAACTAGCCTAATACCTATTTTTACAGGCTCTACAGCAGTGCATCAAGATTCCCCATTGAAATAACTTTCTTCCTGAACAAAAGCATTTAGACAAGGTGTATCAAGATATCCCAGTGGAACAGCAGAGCCAAAACAGCTGGGAATACAATTCAGCACATTTCTTGTAAGTCTATTAAAAACAGACTCCTAGAAAGTTCACTAGGGGCCATGGCAGTATGGCCCCATACCACATGCACATTGAAATAATGACCAGCACAAACATGCACCTACGTCTTTTTGCAGTCTAGCCCTC